CAGAAGTTTCTGCCTTGAATTGTTCTTATATGAATAGATTCTTACCTGAAGTTAACAAGTGGTCACACCTGAATGGTCTTTAACTGAATCCATCTAAACAGGTCATATTGTTGATACGAAGAAGACTTGTGTGAACTGATTCAGTCGCATGATTTCTGTAATGCTGACGGCACTGTGATGACGAGGAATAAATCGAATATCTCTTATTTCCTCTTCGGTTTCTCTTCGAATTTCTGTTGGTCATTTCTAATTCCTAATTTTTCATTCAACTTATTGCATAAAGAAGGTGAGACTTTCTGCTGGCATAAATCATCATCTTCTCTTGCAATTTTTTAATTCATGTATTCTGCCCATCCTGCTGCAATGTTCACCCTTATACCTCCCTGGACTTTTCAAAAAAGACTGTCATAAATAGAGTTAGTGATGTGTGTGCCTTTGACTCAGCTAACTGGCATTATTGTTGTTGATAAGCACTTCAATTTTTGCAAGCAGCTATAAGGTTAAAGTTATCTTGTCTGATACTGAACATCGCCTCCACTTATTCTCACCTTTTGCCTTGTATAACTTTTAGGAGTGTAACCAGAAGAAACTTCATAAGAAGCATATACGTTCGTACAGCTACTAAATATAAAAACCCTAATATACCACCATATTTAGCGCGAGTTTTGTGTGAAGAGCAAGTCAGATGTCAGAAAACAACTTACAAACATTTTAGATGAGTAGCTGAACTGCAAAGCATAAGCAGAGATTATTATTATTACATGTATTATCTACCTATACTTCATGATGTTTCCACCAACATCCTGTTTATTGCGGTTTCATTATTAATATTATTATTATAACTTTTTTATATATGAACATATTTATAAAAGGAGCTAAATTGTTGTGATATGTTTAAAAACGCTGAAAATTCCATTCCATTATTGTTGTTTGGAATAAAGTTATTATTATTATTATTATTGAATGTCATCATTGTATAGTAGCCTTCTTATGACAATCATAGTTATGTTACCATTGTTTATAAATTTCACATGAATGTAGTAAGGAGCCTTTTGCAGTCAAGTAAATCAGTGGGTTTCTGCGATTCTGTCTTGGGATTCCTCTTCGCATGTGAATTCTATAGCCGAATGTACTTCATTGAATTCAGTAATTATTGTACTCCTATCAGAACCACTATCACAAAGGATGAAAGTGTCATCCATATACCGGCAATAAAATGAGAACTTTCTGATAAGGTTGTTCAAAGGTCCATTTTCTAGCTTACCCAGAAAGAAATCAGCCAAAATGGGACTCAGTGGGGTTCCCATTGCCACACCGTTCACTTGTCTGTAAAGTGTGCCATCAAATTTGAAGTTTACATTCATGGTACATCTTAGTAACAATTCTTTTGAGATTTCAGTCCGGATATCAATGTTCATCGACTGGTTATTCAATTCTTCACATACGTAGTTAACCATTTTTTCTATGAGAGCTACATTTGTGAATAACGATATTATGTTCAGAGATATCATGGTTTTGTCCTTGATATTAATATCTTTTATTTTGCCTACTAATTCAAATACATCTTTGACGCTATATTTCACTATATTATCATGCAGAGGTTTGAGAATTTTTACTAACCATCTAGCTAGAGCATGATAGGGCGAATTTTACATATCGAGTATTATTCTTAACAGTACCCCTGGTTTATGCACTTTAGGTAGGCCATGCGTTGGTGGCACAGTGGTTAGGACTCTCACCGACCATGCACATGGTTCGAGGTTCGATCCCTTGCCGACGCACACCTGATATCTATGGTCGGCCTGCAGAATTTGGGCTACCGATATCCATGCTGAAAATTCCATACTTGTACAAAAATACAGTGTGGAATCAAGCTGTAATCAAAAATAAAAAAAATAAAATAATACAATCTTGGCGTATACGTGCCCGTTGGTCTGATTTCTTCATATTAACTTCCAGTAAATATCTGCTCCTCCCTTAGTTTCTTAGTCTGGTTAATTTATTCTCTATTTTGTTATTGAAATCTTCCTTCTCCTCAAGTGTTTGAAACTTCTGTGTGTCCTTCAATATACCATCCATCTTTTAAGTATAGCCACTTATAACAAGGAGGACTACTCCTGATCCTTTATCCGGTTTTGTGATTATCAGTCTCTCATCATTTATCAGTTTTTTAGTTCTTCTCTGTGCTCCTTTATAAAGAAGCATTTACTGTCGCATTTGAGGTTTTGTACTGATACAACAATCCACTAGACTGGATTTGAAGCGTCCTAGTTCCAAGGTGGATAATGGAACTAGATCCCTTGTTTGACTAAATAGGTTTTCGAATTCAATATCAGTATCTAAGTGATAAACTCGTTCCCGTCTATCACAAAATCGAAGGCCAAGGGAAAGTACTTCAAGTTGCACCTTATTTAATTCAACACTACTATAATTGTAGACGTACTTTTTAGGATCTGCTGGAAATTTACCAGCCTCTGGTTTTCTTTCAAGTCCTTTCATAAGCTCTCTCTGCATCTTCTGTGCTCTTCGTTGACTAACTTGAGAAAAGTATTCCATAAAAGGTGTTCTAAGATCTTCTGGCATTTCATCTACCGCATATTGCCTGCGAGCGATATGCATTTCATTCTCTTGTATGTATGTGGATAAAGAGTCTGTTTGGTTTATTGCATATAGTTTCAGTGTCTTCCTATTGGGATGAACTCTGCTTCGACGTAGAGACTTGTAATAACCTTTAGGATAGTGAATCAACTAGCGATGTACTAACAAACACACTAATTTTCAAAACAATGGATACTGAACATAGAATACTGTTTTCGATAAATTCATCATCAGGCTCTACAGTTATATATACATTATAGTGAATGAATGAATTAGTGTTATGAACGAGATTATTGTTTAAATAACATCATCCACTGCCGACGCGTACCTGACGTCTATGGTCGGCCTGCGAAATTTGGGCTACCGATATCCATGCTGAAAATTCTATACTTGTACCAAAAATACAGTGTGGAATCAAGCTGTAATCAAAAGTAAAGAAATAAAATAAATCAATAATATTAATGGATTACAGTACAATAGCATCAACATAAAATAAGTTGAATATCAGAAAAGTTAGGAAAGATAATATTACAAATTCATGAATTTATAGTCTCTACTGAAGGGTAAGGTAGTAGTAGGGAGTGGACTTGCTTCTTCTTCATTTATGTCCTGAAAATACCTGGTATATGAGTCATAAAGTTAGAAATAGTGGTTAATATATTTTTGAGGACTACTCTCGAAATCTTAACGTAATCATTTGGGAGTTTTATTGTTAATGACCAAGAAACTACTTAAAACAGAATTCAGGTAATTTCATTTCATAAAAAAACTTGGGCTGACAATGTTATCTAGTGGAAAACGAAACCTTCGCAATTCCATCAAGCAGTTTAGACAACACAACTAAGTTAAAATACCACGGTATTGAACCATCATTGGTCTACACTAGTTCTAACAGATCGTAGGAGTAAAGCAGTATTTACTTACTGAGTTGAAATTTTGTATTCACAGGTTTTAATCTCTGGTCATTTCATTTGTCATACAGTTCAATTCTCAACTACCCTTCTTACTTGCACTACAAGTCTATTTACTTATGAACACTTATAAGGCAACAGTCACATTAAGAAGAATATATCTTTGTATACATTGAAAACTCTTGTTGTAGCATTTTTCTGAAACATATTTTTTTCTGTAGAAGCCTAGTCACGGATTGTTAACATCTAGTCCACTATACTTAAATGGATAGAATATTTTTTACATGTTACTTTCTAAGTAGCAATCATATAGAAGACTTCCTGAATGATTATGAAAATCAGAAATTAACTGTACATTGTAACTGTTTGTCAATTTATTCTTTTGCAGTTTCAGTGTGTTACGTCGTTGTTAATAGTATTGATCTTTAAGACATAATATAGAACAATAATGTGAGCTATCTACTCTACATTTTGTGTATAGGATTGCTTATTACCACAGAATCAATAATCCTTATAGCATAAACTACAGCCCATGCTGTTAGTCTGTGTAAAGTTAATGTTTAAGAGTTCGATTACTTCTATACCAGATTTGCTGTGAAACTACTTTGCAACGACCAAGTGCTGAATATTGTGATATAAACAACAACCATATTTAATATGTGAAAATTAGCAAGGCCCCTGTGACAGTGAAGGGATTATTAAAGTTTCTGAGTAATTCTGTCAAGACTGGTTTTCTCAATGACTGTATATCTGAAGTGGCATTAGAAAGCTGTAAGTCAAAATTATATTTAAGCTTCTGGATATATGGCTGGCGTAAGTTTTTACACGCAAACTTCTTCACCCAGTTTGCTAGCTGCACTGGAAATTGTCTGACTCCTCAAGCAAAAAAAGCTTCAGGCATTTTAATTTTACACACGGTGTTTAAAGCCTAATGAAGTTTAGCAAATAAGAAAATATGTGTTCTGAGTCCCATTTACTACGATGACAACAAACCGCAGTTAGTATGGTCTTTCTAACAAAGTAACCAAGGTATCCTTAAGAAAAGAAATCCTATTGAGCCAGACGAAGTTTGCTGAGAGCTGAAGATTATCAAAGTTCCAGAGGTGCAGTTTTCAACATCGCACACATTGTAAGTATGTTACTACAAGCGGGGTTAGCCAGTGTAATGTTTGTAGTCCTATCACAGGCTGATTCACTCTCAACGGGAGGGCCGAATAAACTATAGGTTTACGAATCAATAGCATACATTCTCACCCTTAGACATTCGTGTTGCAAGATGTTACGGTTTTTATCAGTGTTATAGTCCTAATTTCAAAAGATGTTTGTATTTTCTTGTTTAGTTTAACAAACTAAATGTTTTAACTATAACTTCTTTAAGTAACTCAAATGATTAAAGTCAGGAAAACTTAAGAAAATGTCACACTGAAAACTACATTCAAAATCGAACGCCACGTTCGCTCAAATGGTTGTAGCGCATTTAGCCTTGAGATAATTTTGAAAATAGAAATCATCGCAACATTCATAGATCCGTTGGTTTTCAAAAGGTTGTAAATTCGTTCTTTATTATTTCAAAAGAATTCTATGTAATTTTGTATAACTAATATTTGAGCACTCAAAAGATTAAATAATTTACACAGAACAAATGTGAAATAGTTTTGGAACTACTTCACGTAATATCAATCCTCATACGGCAATTTGCAACCAAATAGACAGTGGAAGCAGCTTTGTTAAGTGCCTATACCTCTGATCTATTGTATTGAGTTGTACAATCAGCTTAGTTTTTGGAGCTTGCTATTTTGGCGGCTTGCAAAGGTAATTTGCGCGCACTAAAACCGGGTGATTTAATAAATTTCAGCGCGCGTTTCAACATTTTCCGTGATACTGGGAGTTATGTATTATTTGCTTACTTCGCCATCTTTAAATGCTTTGTAACGATATACACTATTGGTTTCGTACTAACAAAGTATTATGGAATATGGTGATACAAGCATGAGTGGTGGTCAGCAGATCTACGTTTCACAACCTCAAGAACCACCAAGAGTTTCAGGATCTAATCCTCAAGATGTCGTAAATGCATTTCCTGGGGTTGATTGTAATTCATCAAACCGAAACTATGGACCTTATACACAAACATACCAAGCTCATGAATATAATGGACCACATACTTCTCATATTGGAGGACCACCAAGTGTTTATCAGCAGCCGTATTCTGGTGAGGCTCATGGCCAGAGCCTGACACTAAACCAACTCTTACAACAAAATAGTTCGGCAACTACATATCAAGTCCGTCCAGTGAATAGTCCACAGGCAATTTACCGAAATTACGACCAGTATTCATATTCATATAAACCCGGTGCACCAGCATGCGTGGCACAAGACCGAACTCAGGTAAGATAACTGTTTAATTTTAGGTGGCTATATTTGTTGTCAAATTGCCCATATACTCGTAAAAAATTAACCTAGCTGTGTTTTGTTTCTATAACTCGATTGTATTCAAGGTTTCTCCATGAGAGCCAGGAAAGTAGTTAACTACTTTTGTTTCACAAGTCAAAGTTTTTAGCTCATGAATTGTCTTGCCACAATGCTTTTTAGTTAAATACTCTAAGGGTTAATGTTCATTTGGATTATGGTAAAATACATGCGAATTACCAGCTCGCTAAGACTTCCGGTGCAACTCAACAATGCTCAACCAGGAATTAATTTCGGACATATTTTATCACTTTTCACCACCATATGATGTTACTGTCTATTATATATTACGTAAATGTCCTAGATTTGCGCCGACTAGAAGTGAAAAACATTATCGAGAAGTGGGGAAATTGTATCACAGAGCTAAAACTCAAAAGCTAGTATACACTTGAATTTGTTTTTTGCTAATATCTTGCTCAATTCGGATATGGTCTATTTTAATTAAAAACTCGGTATTGTGGGAGGTCTATTGAGCATCCTTTAATGCCCTCAAAATCGACTGGTTGCGTTAATTATATGCTTCGTGTTTAGAGTTAAACTGCTATGGTTTGAAAACAAACCAGTAGTGCACGCACTCATCAAATCTCTACCAGAAAACTGTAATTTTGCCTACAGCAACACCGTTCCTGTCTTTTTCATCATGTATTGAGAATAGGGCTGAAGGGGTCACCAAAAGACAAAAACCCATATTTCTGTCGATCTCCTTAAAACACTTAAATCGACGCTCGCTTTGTAGGTGATTTGATTTGCTTCATTTGTAAAACTCTGAACTTTGTCGCTATAAACAATGTTCCTTTGCATTTTTTTGATTTCTCTAGCTTATAACCAGTAGATGTTATAAGGTTTGCATTCGTATGCAGTATTAGCAAATCATGGGGTATTTTAAAAGTAATTTTTTCGCATCATTGTTTATGAAAAGATACATGTAGTATTCGGAGATGTTTGTTAACTGACTAAAGAAGTTTCAAGGTGGAAGCATACTATTCGATGTGAAGCATGCATTGACTACTGTAGGCTAAGTTAAGTCACGTCAGTCCTCAACTTACAGCAGTATATACGAAACTATCATAACCAGATGTAGAACATAGTTTCTGACCATAAACATTACTGTAGTAGATATTTCCAGTTTCTTTCGTGATAGTACATCGTTTAGATACCTAGAAAATTCCCATTTCTATGCCTGTATGCATTCTTAGGGTCATGGACATGTTACTCGTCTGCTAATCTAATTGAGTTTTAGGTAGAAAGTTTGAACTTCAAAATTCACTCAGTTTATCAACACATACCTGTCTGTATTTTTCTTCTGTATAATTCACTTAAAACCAAAAGATGTCCAGCTGACAACAGATTGAACATCTAGGTAACTATGATAGTCAACTGGCTACAGAGCAACTCTGTGCGCATCCCAGCAACAACTGTTAACGAATAGACACTTGGCAAACTTGTTTTCCAGACAACCTTAGTTCCATATTCTATAGGTAACTTGTGTAATTCCCTTTAGAGTTCTTGCTTGATTCGTACAGTCTGAAAGATTTTGCATTCCTGAAGTTGCCTTCAAAAACAGTTACTTGTAAATAGGCTTTTTTGGATGAATGATGTACTAGTATGTACTTACGCTTATGCCAGTTTCTATCGGCCAATATGCTGTAGAAACCCGAACCAGTATTCGGTTATGTCAAGTCCTTTTGATTGTGACTAGGGTGGGAGTTAAGTTTTCCTTCTGTATGATAAATATAGTGAGTTAAGACTGATGAAGTTCATGCCATAATTTTGTATGTTGAGTATTAAACGGTACATGCCTATGCACAAACTTGTAACCAGAAGAAGGCTATCTATAATACAGTTTGGTGTTAATTCCTGAAGTTGTGCGCATCATTTTTACTCATATAATGATCATTCAGTGTTCAGTGAGTGGAAGGCTACTCAAATCCATGAAATCATTTGTGACCCTGCACTCTGTAGGTTTATTGACTGCATCCTAAGAGGCATTAAAAATCGTTTGGAAACTGACAGTTACTCTTTGCAGAATGTGTAGCGATAATGAAGGTAAATTAAATCTATGTCATTGACTATCTTGACTTGCAAATCTTCATCTACTTACATTTGTTCGCTTAATTCAGTATTTTATTTGTTTTCGTTTTCCAGCGTTGGTTTAAGCTGTTAGAAGCCTAATGCTAATTTGTGCGGACTTTTACAGTTATCATTTTTGTTTGTAAGGCGATAAACTAACTAATGTATCTGTCCCACATGACAACATTTCAAGCAGTGCGTCCGAATAATTTGTCCCATAAATTATTTCACTCAGGCTTCCTCATGAACAGTGCATCTGTAGAAGTAAATGCCAGTATCTCCAGAACTACAATTTGAGTATTCTAACATTTTACAAACATAGAAGTATGTTTTAAGAATTTACATCCAGACATAAAGCTTGCTCCGATTTTTTATACAGAGAAGCCTGAACAATGTCTAGTGTGTAATAGTTGTTTAAGTTTTGTTTTATGAACTCAGGCTCTTAGCATTCACCACAAAAGTAGAAAAAAGAAAGTAAGATCAAAGCAACACAAATTGGACAGAGATCAGTAAAACTCTATAGTAAAGTTACTTTCGCTCTTTGAAGGATGTTGTTTTGTTAGAGATTGCTTTGTCGATGTAGAAATTCGCGCAAAAGTTTAAGTTGCCACTATTCAGCAAAGCGAACAAAAGTGGAGAAAAGATGTGTAATAAAACTGGTATTTGGAGACGTCTTTGAGAGAGAGATTAAATGAAGATTAGTGCAGATATCCATAACCCGAGGACTTATATAACTGCGCTATTGTAAACGATTTTTAGCTATATCACCAAGTCTCCAAGGGTCGGTTTGTAGTATTTTGGACACTCTAGACAGACAGTTCACACCCTCCTACGTAACAGAAACCAACAAACAGAGACTCGTTTTAGTCCGACTACTCCTTGTTCCTATCCAACAAAGTCGTATATCAGCTAACGCTGCTAGTCGGTTAAAGGGATGGCTAGGTCTGTGCAACACATCCTATCTATCTCAATGGAGATTCACCGCATCATAAATTGATTTTTCTCATTATCTAATGTTGTTATTACGTAACATTTTTTTACCGATGTAAATGTTCATCTGCCTGTGTTAAGTAGAACAATCATCTGCTTTCTCATATGTAGCAACCATGTTTCGGTCGTAAAGTAAAGTTAGACGGATTGTTGTCCTGTAGCATGCCTTTTGATGGATAGACGGATATAACACTTGCACCAAAGTTAGCACACATTTCGAAACGGCGGGAAAATCTGTTATATTCTTGTTGGGTTTCTGGTATTAACCAATCCATTGCAGCAGATGCAACTTCCCAAATCAGTGAAGTTACTAGTATTTAACTGTTCCTGTGCTCAAACTCGGTATGGATCGGTTCTACAGCATGATGTTACATTTGGCAAGGATGCACGCTAAGTGTATTTACATCTTTGCTCGAGGCATTCAGAAGACTGTACTTCATTAGTGTCTTTACCTGAGAGGACTGCTATGTATGTTTACTGTAACTTGACTAGTCTTCTTGGGTAGCAAGCTAGCTCCTTAGACATTGATGTTGACCGTTAACATACGTTTGTATGCACTGGTTAGAATAAATAGTGGTGACATTGGGTAACACTGGTTGTCATCACTTCAGGTGACAACTTTTACATTAATGCATGAATTCGAGTTGAGTGTACGTATAAGCATAATCTGCTTTCTTAGCACTTGTTTGACATAGTACCTGCCGATCAATGCAGTCCAGATGCTATGTTCAGGCGTCTGTTACTAGTTGAATTGTAAATATTAACTGCTTTCGTACTTCACAGATACGATGAAACGCTCAAAGTAATATCTTGAAGCAAGCGAAGTCTATAATGTACTGATTAAAGCGTTCATTACTCCACCAGATACTTATCTATAGTCATGTGTTGCAAGCCAATAACCGTAGTATTTCTTGAAGTTGAAGTCCCACAAGACTGCTATTTGAAATCGTGTTTTATAAGAAAATCTTGGAAAAGCCCAATGCCAGTGTTTCATGTAAAGAGCGAGTATATAACCACTTTCCTCCTTTTCGTCACGCAAGCGGTAGGATAAGATAGTGACCCTTGATATTACCCTTTGTTTTTGAACTTAATATGGATGTCATTTTCCAAACAGTTGTTAGATGTGTGGTAGTTGTTCAGATGTACTAATATTAAAAGGTCTCTCCTCAGGCAGTGCTTCTTTACCGTGCGATAATATACTGACAATGTAATTTTTATTCAATCATCTTTTTATGTGTGATTGAGTTGCAGTCCTTTAGTCTTAAGCACCAGTATAATTTACTCATCTTCAGAAGTGAATAATTAGGATTTTTACAGCAGTTATGTGAGTGTTTATATCATTATTACTCCTTTGGGTTCTGAGTGGAACATAGGGCTTCAACAACATATCACTTTGATCTACTTTCCGCCTTCCTCGTAAGCTAGGTTCCTCATTAGCCACAATCTCTCGTATCCTCCCCAACACACGATCTCCTACATGTCACCCTCGCCCTGACAACTCACTCGTCACTCCCCATTGGGATTCCACTCGAGGAATGGCCTGCATCGTGCGTGATGTCATTCGACGGCCTCCTCAGTGGCGTTTAGCCAATCAGTCCATCTCCATTTTCTCCTACATATTTGTTCAGCGATCAGCTCTGGTTTGTTGGTTCGTTCATTGCCAGAGTTTCTTGTTGATAATTCTTTCTGGTCAGTTGACCGGCCGGTCATTTGATCTTCAGTATGGAGGTAGAGAAGGGCAACTGTTGATAAAAGTCTGTAACTTGTTGGAAATGCTTTTCGTGATTCACGCGCAGTGCAAGTTTCTGACCCGTATAGAAGAGCTGACTGAGATACTGACTTCACATTTGTGTTGAATA